ACGGCGCGGATGATCTCCATGCCGCCGGAGACCTCGCCGAAGCAGACGTGCTTGTTGTCGAGGTGCGGCGTCGGCGCCAGCGTCACGAAGAACTGGGAGCCGTTCGTGTCGGGGCCCGCGTTGGCCATGCTCAGCAGCCCGGCGCGCGTGTGGCGGACGGCGAACGGCTCGTCCGCGAACTTGCCGCCGTAGATGGACTCGCCGCCCGTGCCGTTCTTGTTCGAGAAGTCGCCGCCCTGGATCATGAAGCCCGGGATGACGCGGTGGACCGGGCAGCCCTTGTAGTGCAGCGGCTTCTTCGTCGTCGCGCCGAGGCCGCACTCGCCGGTGCACAGCGCTTTGAAGTTCTTCACGGTCTTGGGCGCCATCTCGTCGTAGAGTCTGAGAGTCACTCTACCTTTCGGCACGCCGCCGATGCTTATCTCCATCCATGCCTCGCTGTGGAAGGGGGAGCTCATCCCGCTGCCGCCGATGGGCGCGCGAAGAACGATTGGCGTGCGGCGGCGCAGCGACGCAGACTATTTGCGTGCCGACGGTGCTCGTCACGAGCTGAATTGATTTCACGGCGCGCGCGAGCTGCACGGCGCCGGCGCTCTCGCCTGTGGCGGAGATGGCTGTGGCGCTCGCGATCTCGTCGACGTCGCCGGGGATCAGAGTTTTGCACGTCCCCAGCGGCCGAAGCCAGCGTCTGCCAAAATCACCGAAGTACATCGTGTGGAGCAAAAAAACAGTGAAGTACATCGTGTGGAGCCCAAAAATAGCGAAGTACATCGTGTGGAGCCAAAAAACCGGGAAGTACATCGTGTGGGTCGAGTAGCGCGTGATCTGCCGCGTCGGGGGCGCGAAGGTCGTTACGTACGAGTATAGGGCGAGAGCCAAGAACGTCCCCCAGCCGCGAGCCATGCTCCTCCCCCCGCTGCGAGCCATGCTCCTCCCAAGCTTCTCGCGTGCGGTAACGTCACCTCATCCTCCTTGACGATCTTTCGAGTATCGCCCCGCGGCCGGTCGACCGCGCGCGTCGACGCACCTCGACGCCGCCTTTGCCACGCGACATTGGGCGCTTCGGGCAAGTCGCAGCGGCGTGCAAAGGGGAGCCTGCGCGCGCGCGGCAAAGTGGAGTCGAGTCGTCCATCACAAAAAACAACTTAGAAGTGTGCAGGCTGGCAAAAGAGAGGTCACGGCTGCCGAAAGCAAAAAAAAAGACACCTCACGTGGGGCTCGAACCCACGACCACACGATTAAGAGTCGTGCGCTCTACCGACTGAGCTAGCAAGGCAGGAGGCTCCTCACTCGAGAGGAAGCGAACCCCCAACCACGGCGAAGCCGCACCCGGGTGTTTCTCGTTTGCGTTGCAAGAAATCCGGCGGAGTTGGCATCTGAATCCGATCCAGGCGGCCACCGGTTCGACTTGGTCGCGACCACAGCGACCTGTTTGCTGCGTTCACGTCGCGTCGAGCGCCGCGCCCCAACGCTCGACCCGCCGCGCAGCACCTCACAGCACCGCACCAGACGCGCGACAACACTGGACGCCCACCAAGCAGGCCTCTGGCTCGCCCCGTACCATTGGAAACAGCAGACCATGCC